ATCAACTTTGATAAACAAATCATTTTGTAACAACTATGGAGCAATCATTGGCGAGTTTAACAATACTAGCCACACAGACTTTGGGTAAATTAGGTCCAACCAAAACTAAAACAAGATTAAACAATTATAATTATATCGGCTCTTTCTCTACTAACTGTGTTTACTATTCAAGGAGGATCGTGATAACTATTCACATTACCACCATATGTATTGTTATTTTCAAAACTTTTATAATGATTCTTTTACATAACTATTATTCTTCCATATTGACTTTCTAAAGAATGTTTAAACGCTTCTTTTTTTTTTTTCACTCTTGTGCAACATTTTCGAAGAGTTTGTTAGGCCTCACATTACCATCATATGTATTTTTTGTTGTTGGAGGTGAAGTGATATAAGTACACAAGAACAAGATGAATGATGGCTAAGAAGAAGCAATGATTCTGCTAATTATCCTCCATGTTGTTGTTAATCTCCGTTGGTTTTGTTGGAATAATTATTTGGATAAATGAACATTAATTATCGTTGGATATGGTTGGATAATATATAAATATTTAATATAATACATTTTTAATATACAAAAAACTATTTTAATATTCGAAAATCAGGTTTTTAATATGAAAACACATGATTAGTATACACAAAATCTTTTTAATAATACAAAAAAAAAATCCTAATGAATTTGTAATCTAAACAACCATCCAACACTAAATCATAACAAATCATACAACTTTACAACCCATATTCACCATTACTCTATCTAAAACATCCAACACTAAATCATAACAAATCATACAACACTAAATCGTTTCGTACATTACCGCGAAATTGAAATTCATTCAAAAAAAATATTAAACCATTGGAAATCCGTTGAAAATTTTCCACATTTCCTAGGAATTAGGGTATAGGGTATGCAAAATTGATGTAAACAACGTCAAAATACATTATACTGAAAGAATAATATCATCACCCAACTAAAACATGTTTAATTTTAATTCATGTGTAATGTACAAAACATATATACAAAAACGAAAATAATTCTAGTGATGTATACTACAACTTAAACTAGGAGTTGTAAAACTCTTATAAAGAAATTATGACATTCTAAAATGAAAGCAAG